TGCTCTCAAACCAATAACCAAGTTTGTTCAGGTTTCTCAACCGAGATCGTCCTCCTTGCCGAGGTCCTTCTCCATTAAACCAAGAACTCTAAGAGTTTCAACACGCGTATGAGCTGTCACGCACAGTGTTTCAACCATTTTTGCTCAAACTTTTTCTCTCAAATCCTCCATTGCTGCTTTCGCGAAGCTTTCTGCAACCAGTTTCACTCTCCTCCTCCGGCGAGGCTTTTGCTGCACTTCTTTGCTCACTGCCACCGTCTAACACCGCCAAGTATAAGAACAACTCCTCTCCAGGCACTGGATTTGAGAGCACTGGAGCTGTGGTCAAATACTTCTTCAAGTCGGCCAAGGCGACTTCGCACTCTTATGTCCATAAGAAGTCTGTGGCTTTCTTTACTAAGCTGAAGAAAGGTTTACACTTGTCAGAGCTTCTGCTTATGAATCTATTCAAGGCTGCAGCCCTTCCAGTCAACATCTGCACTTGCTTTGCCAATGTTAGGCTCTTCAATTCTAAGATGGCCTTGATCTGATCTGGGCTAGCCTCAATTCCCCTTCTGGTGACCAAGCATCCTCAGAACTTACCAGACCCAACTCTAAATGCGCACTTCGATGCATTGAGTCGGAGCCGATATGTTCTAACGATGTTTGAAACTGCCCTCAAGTCTTCTAGATGATCCTCAAGTTCTTTGGTCTTGACGACCATGTCATCTATGTATACCTCCACTGTTTTACCGATTAGATGTCTGAGCATCTTGGTTACCAGTCTCTGGTAAATTGCTCCTGCATTTTTCAACCCAAAAGGCATCACTCTGTAGCCATACAACCTTTTTGGGGTGATAAATACAGTCTTCTCTTCATCCGGGGGGTACATAGCTATCTGATGGTACCCCTTGTAAGCATCCAGGAAGCTCATCCTTCCATGCCCTGAAGTGGCATCCACCAATTGGTCAATCTTGGGAAGTGGGAAACTGTCTTTGGGACAAGCCTTGTTCAGGCTGGTGAAGTCCACACAGACCCTCCACTTCCCATTCTTTTTCTTCACAACGACCGTGTTTGATAACCACGTCGGGTGGTTTACCTCTCAAATGGCTCTGGTCTCCAAAAGTTTTCTCACTTCCTCTTCTATTGCCTCGACATGCATCAGGGTAGGCCTCTTTGCTCGCTGGATGACAGGTTTGGCCAACCTATCCACATCTAGTCTGTGGCAAGTGACCTCGAGATCAATGCCAGGCATCTCGTACGGCGTCCAAACAAACACCTCAATGTTTGCTCTCAAGAACGCTGGACAGGGATTTTCTTTAGGGCTTCTTCACTCTTCTCGACTGGCTCTTTGCCGACGTCCTCCAGGACTTCCATGTCCTCATCCTCAATCTCTGCTGTTTCTAGGGGCCATGTCAGCGTTCCATTGAACCCAACCATTGGGCCATTGGACTGTTCTAAATCATCCTGGTGAAGGCCAAGCTCCTTGTAACACCTGACATACATAATGTCACAAGAGCTGCCCTAATCAATTAAGATACATTTCACTTGGCATTCTCCAATCTAGAGAGATATTACCAAGGCATCGTTGTGTGGATGCTGCATCATCTCTAGGTCGTCTTCAGTAAAAGACACCACTGGTCCCTGGCACTCGTCTGCCCTAGGTCTTTTCTGTCGGACCTGGTACACATGCTGCAAGTGCTTTACCTTCTGAGTATCCCCCTGTATCTCGTTCTCATTGTCCTTTGAGTGAATCACATTGATCACTCGAGGTTCATCTGCCTGCGGTTGAGGTGTTGGGGGAGATGGTGCTGCCGGAGCCTGAGGCAGTCTCGCTTGTTTTTCCCTTGTCCTGGCCTCGTCTACTAGGTCCCTTAAATGACATTGTCTTACCAGGTCTTCCAGATGTGCCTTCAGGGCTCTGCAACCCTGAGTCAGATGCCCAGCTTTGTTGTAGTAAGCGCAGTGCTTGCCAAGGCTTCTTCCCATAAATTCACCCGGCACCCTTGCCAGTGCTCTGTAATAGGGCTGATTTCGGATTTTCTCCAAGATTTTGTAAACTGGGATTCGAAATACAGTTGTGACTGCCTGCACAGCCCTTAATCCTGTCTCTTGCTTGCTGTATTCAATGTTACATCGGCCTCGCTTCGGCGAGCCGTTTCTCTTTTCTTGTGTTTTGAATATTTGTCTTTCTTCTTACTTCCTTGTATGATTCCATACTTAGAACAATTTGCATGTCTTCAACATACACCTTAACTGTGCAGCCTCCTCGGGGTGGAATACCTCAGTTAAAACCCACTAACGGTATATTTCGGTAAGTACATAGGTACTTCTTTCAATACAACCTTGGCTTAAACTTGTAAATTTTTCTTTAAAAATTTCAACAAGTGTTAAAACCAATCTTCCTTTAATCATAACCTCGGATTCACTACAAGTTATAAATTTTTCATAAAATTTCAACGAGTGTTAAACACGTCCTCGGTTTAACTTCAACTTGTAAATTTAAATTTCAACAAGTGTTAAACACGACCTCGGTTTAACTTCAACTTGTAAATTTAAATTTCAACAAGTGTTAAACTAATCTTAACTTGTAAATTCCACCTTCCAAGCATCATTCTCCAACCCTCTTCGGTGCACTACTTCTAGTGTCATTGTGAGTCCTTTTGGACCTCCCTCTATTGGTCATGTTGAAACAGAGTTCCTTCCCCTGAACATCCTGATGTTATTTGGTGCAGGCTTCCTTGGTTTGACGTGTTTTCTGGGATTCTCTTCTCGTTGATTCTCCGTGCCCGACCACCCGTGAGGGCCAGTGAGAATGTCTCTTTGCCCTGTCGTGTTGAGGGACTGCAGGAACTGTTTTTTGCCCCTCTTTCTGGGCATCTTTCTTGGCCGCTAGAATCGGCATTTCTTGTTATAATACTCACTCCGGTCTAATTTCTTCGGTACGTCGCCCTCCTGGCCGACATCCTTTTCTCCGTGATTCTTATCATGAGTCTCTTCACTGCAGTTGTCTTCTTCGACGTCAGAGTCAATATGTTTCCCACTCCTAGTAGGGGTGTCGTCCCCAACCTTCTCTTTATGTCCGTCATTGGCCATCTATTCTCCTTTCTTTCCCACAGACGGCGCCAAATTGTGTGTGTCAATTTCCGACCATACTGCCAATCAAGCACTCAGCTGGAGAACACTGGCAGAATAGATTAAGCCCGAATGACCTATCACAAAAAGAAGAGATTCTGGTGGTGGTTCGTTCATCCGGGGTCACTCCGATGATCAAGTCAATTATCTCTCAAAGATAGCAAAAGTACTTAACTCACTATTCAGAATAAAAAGCATACATTAGACCCATAAGGGTGCCTGTCTTTTATAGCCAACACAAACCTAGTCCCAATAGAAGCCTAGCTTCAATGGACTTAGGATTACTGCTAATCTTGGACTCCCAGTAAGATTGGGCTAAACTCTCTAAGAGTCTTATCTTTACCCAAACTGAAGTCCTCTTTCATTCTAGGACTCTTGTCCCTTATCCGCTTATCCCAGATTCCAGTATCTCCGCAAATAACCTCAGCTAGCCGAGATTATCTCGGTGTCATGACCAGGACACGTGGCACCTCAGCTGACACTTCGGTGCCACCTCGGCCACGTGTTGTCATTCCAAAAAATATGTCCCCACAATTTGTATCTAGTGTTTTGTACTATTAGGTCCTGATATGCCGAACATATTGCTTATGTTCTATCTTACAGAGCTGAGCATATTGCCTTCGTTCTGCCTTACAAAGCCGAACAAATTGTTCATATTTTGGCGCTGTGTTTGACATACCAAGGTTGAACGACTTCAGCAAAGATCAAAAATTGAAATCAATTATTGCGGTTCTAAAAATCCTACAACCACTATTCCAAATAACAAAAAATGTAATCAATGAAAAAATATGAGGAATTTACCTACTTGTGGGGATGAAACAATGCCGTTCTTTTCTTCTTCTTCTTCTTCTTCTTCTTCTTTGTTAGTATTTGCCAATGATGAGAGGGAGGAAATACTATGGCTGAGAAGAGAGGAAAAGAGAGGAAGTCTTTTTTGAATTGCTTTATTTATTATTTGGGTGTATTATAATTTTTTTTTTTTTTTTTGAAGAGTAATTTGTAAAAAAAAACATATAATATATTGAGAGTAAATTATAACCGTAAATAATTTAATAAAAAATAGTGAGAAATTGAACTGAATAATTTTTTTGAGTACAACTAGAATCCTCCAATACCCACCGAATAAAACAATCACAATCATGGAAGACATCATACGACAATACTTATCAATAATTGCTCGTATGGGACACAGGATCTTGTGTCCTTGAGCTGGACCCATATATAGCCTACATAATTTCTTATTTTCTTCCAGAATATGGAATGCAGCCCAAAGTTTTTCCAGGGTTGCTTCCGAATAATTGGTTAAACTAGGGGCCTGTTTGCAATTGTTTTCATTTTCCATTTTCTTTTTAAAAAAACAAAAACCATGTTTGTTGAGCTGTTTCTAAAAACTGTTTTCTGAAAAAAAAAAAATAAATAAATAAATAATTCAAGTTTTAAGAGTTGTCTTCAAAATTTCACACAAAAATGAAAACAATAAGAAAATGATGAGTTTTTGAACTTTAATTGTTTCTGTTTCCCAAAATATGAAAAATGAAAACAAACTAAACCAAAACGATATTAAACAGGCCCAAAGATTCCATATCAAGTTAAGCATGACTCCATCACTATCTGAAAATTCATTAATTTCTTTTATTGCACAAAATCTGATTCATTCTATTCATATATCATTCTATCAGGCATATCATTATAGTTTAATGGATATTATATTTTCTTACTTATTCAATTTTTGATGAATAAGTTGGGGTACAGGGACCAACCCTTATCAAATACCAGTTGAGCTTGTGAAAATTGTTGGTATATGTCATGATTAAACCCTTATCAGGATCACTAAATTCACAATCATCAATATATATACAGATGATAATTATCCAGAACAAAAGCAATTAAAAACTAAAATTGTCTTTAAATCTTGAAAGACAATTCTTTCATTAATGCACAAGAAGTCTCCATTACAATTGAAAGCCTAAGTATGTTTTTCCTCTCAATTTTCACTCCAATTAACAACCTTTGTCAGTGTCCAAAACAATTTCACTTGAAAAATCCATAACCCCAGAGCACCTCCACATAATAATTTTTTTTTCCCGGAGCCATCGTGCCTCTTTGGCTTGATGTTTCAGGTTTTCCATTCACATCTCCATTTTTGTTTGACTCTCTGGATGGCATTGAGGGTTCGGATTGGATTTCAATTCACGCCCTTTGGGCAATTTTTCCTCGCTCAAAAGATTCTTTTCGCTGTCAAGGTAGGGTTCATCGAGGGACTCCTGTAGTCATAAGATGGCCTCTGGAAGGCCTAGCTTGTTACTGCTAAGGAAGAGTTGTCTAGGAATCTCACATTTGTGGAGACCTGATACTGCATCTGTCTGAGTCAACGTTAATGACCCTGTTAACGCTAACAAGGGTTCTAGAAGAAATGCTTGACTCTCATTTTTTCTCGTCGCCACCTCCATCATTTCTTCTAATAAAGCTTTGCTTGTGTCTATACCTGTCAAAATTGATCATAAAATTAGCATATAAGATGGGATATCAGAACTTTATGTCGTCAGCATAGATCATTCATTATCCAAGATCATAAAAAATAGCCTCGATGAGTACCTGCAAGGTATCCCCCATGTACATAACCATTAAATCTCTCGCTTGTGTGTTCTCCAGTAAAAAAAATCCGTCCCACTGGTGCCTGACCAAATGACACAATAGCAGCAATAGTGTCACACAACAGAATTTCTAGTTGAGTTTGATATTCTTTATTATTATTTTTTTTATCATTTTTGAGACTCAGAAATTTTTGTCAATGGATCAAGGTTTTCTATACTTCACATCACATGTATAACAGAATCACCCCACTTTATACAGAGGTAAGGTGCAAATTGCATTTGTCTTAATCAGTAAATTCCTTTTTCCCCTTGGTAAAATATTGTGAAGTGTCAAATCCCAATTCTATGATTTTAACTTTTGCATAAATGGTAAAACAATGCATTCACAAAGTATTAACAAAGAAGTGAATAAAAAAAGATTCATGCAATTTGTATCATAGATCATGTCTAAGAAATGACTTCAGGGAAGACTAAAAAGCCTTGTTATTTTCATTTATGGGAAGTCATTTTCCACATATAAAGAGGGCGATATGTTAAGGAAGCGCGAATAACTAAATTGTTGCAAAATATGAGTGTAGTATGAAATTCACACCTTAATATTATCAAAATTTTGATGATTGAAATAGATGGGGTAGTTGCTATAGCTGCCACGCTGGAAGCGATTGTTCCACCAGCGAGGCACAAGGATATCAGTAGCATCAGGTATGTCAGGCCCAAACATGTTCCTTAAAACCTCCATGGCTTCTTTCAGCGTTTCATGGTCTGATTGAGCTTCAACACGTTTAGATTCTCCATTTGTCAAAGTTACAACAAGAATATTGGACCCTGGGTACGCATTCTCCATGTGCTGATGACATAGCAACAGATCAACAGCCAACTTGGATCAATTTGGTGAGTAAAAAGAACAAATGGATCATCCAACCAACAACCATATAAAAATATAATGAGTTATATCAATCAATAACAGTTAATTTGTAGTATTATAAGTTCAGAATCTGTTTTGATTAAATACAAATTGAAGATGTTAAGGACAACAAGATCCCACAAAGACTACATGGGAGCCCACATGTGGCGAAGAACAAATCACTTATCTCCTAGCAAAGACAATGAAATATTTTAAGACTAGACTATGAATTCAAAAATAGATTTGATGACATAGAGACTAGCTTTAATTGCGCAACTAAATTGCCAGCTCGAAGATGCAAGTAGGGGCAGACCCAAAAAAAATATATAGAAGGAGGCCAATATAAGTTCATCAAGATGAATTTTACAAAGTAGGTTTTGCATTGTGTTAACTATACTAAGAATAAGACAACCTTGTTTCTGATTCATTTTGATTCCAAATATGTTTCGTGGATTGGACTTCTACATAATATGCAGAATTTGGGCGTGGGCATTGTTCTGATTCCATAAAATTTTCACCTTGTTCTACATAATATGGAAAATTTGAGATATGGACACTCAGATCTTTTGTTATTGATGACATTGAAATAATTGAAGCAGACTGAACACAATCTTTGTCCATCTATTAAACAAAAAAGCAAGGATGAATACATCTTTCTTTTCTCATTGGATATGAGATTGAAACAAGGATGACTTCATGATTTTGAATTAAGAAATACCAATAATTAGCTACGTACAATTTAAGATCTTCTGGAATTTGAATTGCCTCATTTTTATTTTTATTTTCATTTTCATAACACTTGAATTGAAGGCAATGATTCATAACCTATGAACTGCTATGCTGTCACCTTGACACCAGGAAAAGATGATGAGACAATGTCTTCCTATGAAATCCTAGACAAATCATCTACACAAATCTGATAGACTCAGTCTAAGTGCAACAAAAAATGTTAAGGGAAATGCCGTCCACATGCAGATAATTCAGTAGAAAGATTCATGATCCATGAAATAACAGAACACACCCAGTACGAAATAAAATAGAATAAAAAAACACGACGACTTTTAGGATGCAGGTACAGTAATTCTGAATAAATTATACGAACCTGCCAGAACGTGTAGTAACCTCTCCGCTCGTGGGCATATATAAAGAATTCTTTTTCGGGTCCACACGGCCAGAACTTATATGGAAACTTTAAGAAGATCTTCGTGTACACCATCACATCACATTTCTCAATGGCGTCCATTTTCCACCTCTGTTTCATAATTTTATTCATTTGTTAATTTCGAGTATATAATAATAGCAATAAAGGAGAAGATCATGTCAGCAAGTATTCCTAGGTGAAGGGACCACAACCAAACAACCAATCATGTAGAATAATTTAAAAGCACTGTATATATTTTTAAATTATGTGAAGATGTTATACATGTGCATTGGTTCAGCAACTTCCTGCAAAGAATTTCTAGGCACAGAAGCTCAACCATTTAAACAATCCATAATACATATTTAGCATTGTTATTAGTAACAGATTATTCAACATTCATGGACATTGATATAACATAATCATGCTTTGGTGGTTGCCATATCGAATTAATTAAATGTTAACAGCTATGTATTCTATTTAAATTGATTTTAAAAAAATTTCATTGAGCGTATATATATATATATTTGGGCAAAATCTATTTTATTGAACCAACAGCACTTTACCTCCTTATTTTTAAAAGGAAAATGTCTCGTAACTCAAATTTTGTGGCTCAAATGGCCAAAACGACGTCGTTTTGGCCATTTTCCCTGTTAAAATGAATAAATCCTCAACGCATCACTTCATAGCATAGCTCCACATTTGTTAATTTTCGAGTATATAATAATAGCAATAAAGGAGAAGATCATGTCAGCAAGTATTCCTAGGTGAAGGGACCACAACCAAACAACCAATCATGTAGAATAATTTAAAAGCACTGTATATATTTTTAAATTATGTGAAGATGTTATACATGTGCATTGGTTCAGCAACTTCCTGCAAAGAATTTCTAGGCACAGAAGCTCAACCATTTAAACAATCCATAATACATATTTAGCATTGTTATTAGTAACAGATTATTCAACATTCATGGACATTGATATAACATAATCATGCTTTGGTGGTTGCCATATCGAATTAATTAAATGTTAACAGCTATGTATTATAAATTGATTTTAAAAAAATTTCATTGAGCGTATATATATATATATATTTATTTGGGCAAAATCTATTTTACTGAACCAACAGCACTTTACCTCCTTATTTTTAAAAATAGCCACATACCTCCCATATGGTTTTGAATTAAAATGTTACAGTTATATTTTCCATCCAAACTAACAGAGAATTTGTTTCACATTCATATTTTGAGAGTGGAGAAGGAAAAAAAAATTAGTCAAAGTTAAATTTCAATGTAAGAAGACAAAACTAACCTTGTTTTATCTTTTTATCTAAATTTCTTATTTAATAACATTTTAAATTAAATATACATATTATATATATAATTAAATTAATTATCAAACTACTTTAATCTAGTTTTCAATTTTTAACTCAATTTTTTATTTAACAACATTTTAAAATAAACATAAACATACATATATATAATAAATTAAATCATAAATTAAACTAAACACCATAATTTATTACCTTAAAATTATCTTATTTAATAAGGATACTTACGTGTAGGTCTTAATAAGTGGACTTATTGTCTAATAAGTACTATGAAAAAAATTTATTATAAAAAAAGTCACTAATTATAAGTTTTAGCGCCAATTTATAAAAAACATGACAAAAAAGTCATTAATTGTCAATTTTTAATAACAAAAAAATTATTTTTAGCGACAATTTTACCAAGACTTATTTTTAATAAGACTTGATGGAAATTAAATCCAACTATTAGAACCTATTGGTAGTTTACCCTGTTCATTTATAATAACATTTTAAATTAACCATATATATATAACAAATTAAATCATAAATTAACTAAAATAACTTAATTTATTACTATAAAATTATTATTATAAAATTAAATCATAAAAGTGTCTTAATCTAATTTTAATTTTTTTTAATTTAATAAAATTTTAAATTAAACATGTAAATATATATTTAACAAATTAAATCATAAATTAATTAAAATTAAAAAAATTAAGTTTATTAAAAACAATATTTAGAAAACTCTAGTTTTTAAATTAGTTTTATGTTATGTTTTCAATTTTTTTGTTTAGTCGGGGAAGCAAATTTATTTATTTATAAAGCGAGCCAAAAATAGAAGTAGAAAAACATAAGGGTAATAGGTCCTATTAGTTGAACTTAAATCCTATCAAGTCCTATTGAAAATAAGTTCTAATAAAATTGTCACTAAAAATAATTTTTTGCGATAATTTTTTACATTTGTCGTTAAAAATTGACAATTAAATTGACAATTAGCGACTTTTTTTTGTCACGATTTTTATAAATTGTCTCTAAAACTTATAATTAGTGACGCTTTTCTGTAACGAATTTTCAAACTATTACTAAAAGTTAAAAATTAGTGACTTTTTTGTGACTATTTTTTTAAATTGTCGCTAATACTTATAATTAATAATATTTTTTGTAACAAAATTTTTAAATTGTTGCTAAAAATTAACAATTAGTGACTTTTTTTAATAGTATTTAATGAAAAACATTATTAATTATCATAAGAACTATTGAATAATAAATCCACTTATTATGACCTATATGTAAGTTTTTCAAGACATAAATGGTATAATTGTTCTTTTATTGTTAAAATTAACAACGTTAAGATTGCATTTTAATCCAAAATCATATGAGAACTACATGACTATTTTTAAAAGATAAGAAGTAAAGGTGCTATTGATTCCTCCCACAGGACGTGAAATGGATTTTGTCCTATACAATTTGCCTCCCGGAGAGGAACCAGCTGTCACAACATACAAAAAATACATAGCCACTTTGCATTGCATGCTTGGCCTACAAGGAGGCAATTCCAGCACACAGGGCGATGAGCCAGTGGGTTACAATACTGCGGATTATGAAATCCGTGGTTGATGCATGTAAAAGAGAGCTCTAATATTTTTTAATTCTTGCGTCATTAACAAGTGAAATCCAATTAATATCTACAATCAGGTTCAATGTGTATGACTGCTTACCTCTTTGATTTTTTATTAACTCATAAATCTTTGACAGAAAGCATACCTATTCTAACTATTCTTTATTTAATATCTATCTACGCCTCTACGTCCATAATCTAAGCAATTGTATGACTTGGGTATTGCCACCAATTGGAACAATTCTTAGCACCAAGTCATTGACCTAACAACCCTGAATTTTTTAAACCAAACAGAGTGATTTGGAATCTTATTCCACAAATACATGTGAATTTCAATTTATTTCTTAAATCTAATGACTTCGTGTTTGACTTCATCAAATCACCTAAGTTTGACAGAATAAGTTGAAAACCATATAATAAGATTATACACCACTTGGTTGGGGGAAAATGGTACAACTCCTCTAAATTGGGTCAAGAGTGAAGATGAATTTAATGTCCTAGATCTCACTAGCAATGCAGACAAAGAATCAGCAGTAAGGAATCATCCAGAGTTGTTCTCATCATGTATGCATATTTAACTAGACAATGCCAATTTCCACATAATTAAATCAACAATTTAGTATGCAACTGTGGAAGCTTACACACTGGATTGATTAGTGCTCATACAGAAATGTAACATTAGTTGCACAGAAAATAAATAAAGAAGTACGATACATACAGGCAAGGGAGGTCTGAAGGAGATGAGGTCGCTTTGCAGAACACCAATACTAACTGACAAAATCACGTAATTGGCTTCGTAAACGCAACCATCCTCCGTTGTCAAACTAATGCCGTCTCTCGAGTGCTGCAATTCCCTAACAACCTGCCCCAATTCCATGGACACCAATCATAAAAATATACCCAAAATAAGCAACTGTGTATAGACCCCTCTCATTAATTCATTTTACATCACAGCAAAGGATTGTTTGTTTGCTAGAGCTTAAAATTTTGAAGCATCCCTCTTCCCGTTTTCAAGATAATAATCTCATTTAAACAATTTTATTATATAAGCCACAGGTAAAAGTTTTTTGATACAATCTCAAAATAGAAAAAATAAATAAATTTTTTTTAAAAAAAATGTGGGTAATAGTTGTATTGTACATTTCATGGCACAAGCTAGACATGCATATGTGTATAACTACAAACATAAATGACAAAAACAAAAATCAAGATGCAAAAGACAATGCAACCACCAGCAAACCACAGCCATAAAATTCTGAGCAGTCAAACCAAGAAAATCCGTGCAAAAAAAGAAAATAAAGAGAAAAAAAAAAATTATCATTTCAGGGTTTTAAAGTGTGTGATTGGGTGGTAGTTATTGAGGAATCTCTGCAGATATTCAGATACCCACTACCTATTTAAGTTAGTTTCTTCAATGTGAAAATGAATAATAGTTAAAGTGTTGAAAAAATAATTCCATTTGAATATATATGCTATAACTTCCTTCCAGAGAGAAAGCAAACAACCAAACCCATTAAATGAGGAAAATGACAAGACCCTTTACTTCATGTTCCTATTTTGAGTTGATATGATGTCCTATCCTACCTCAAAATATCATGCCTTGGGTCAGGTCTACCTCTTCTAGCTATGGGGTGGGCAAAAACCATAGTCCATATGCACACTGCGCAAGATAGTGGACATTGGGACCTACGTATATTGATGCAACGAGTAGTAATGGCCCTTTGAGGGTTGAAAGATCTTAGCAGTTATTAATGACAATATGATTATAGAAAAACTTTCTTGGCCAAATTATGACTCCGTATTCAAAAAGTCCTCTCATTTTTATAGTTCTAGTATATGCATTATTGATAATATGTACCTGTAAAGATCGTCCAAGGCTTGAATCCTTTTGTTAAAAGAAAAAAAAAAAAAAAAAAAGAAATAGGTACAATTAAGTATTTCAGATTCTAAAGTTTTGTCAAATCTCATCGAACTAACACACTTTCAATATGCAATATTTTAGTAGGCACATTTCTCCATTTTCTAATCCAAATTGATAATCAACCACACCATCACAAGCATTAGGTGACCATAGAGATCAAAAGTCCACAACAACTAGCAGTATATTCCTCTGTAAGCAATCTTAAACACCAAGACAGGAAAAAAAAAATTCTTTGGAATCAGTCTTTTAAACAGCTTTTTTTAGTAATCCTCTTTTTTAAAATTGTAAAAGCTCTTCAAAATAGAAAACATTTTAATTTAAAAAAACAATTAAACAAGAATAAAAAATAATAACAAAAAATAGCTCAAAAGCTGGTTCAAAAAATGTAGATAGAAAATGAGCTCCTATATCTCTATCAATGAGTTAAAACGAAATTCAAAAGTCCTAATGCTGTGTTTGGTTGGGAGATTTGGAGAGGAATTTGAAAAGAGAAAGGAAAAAGTTGTGTGAAACTAGATGAAATATAAGCATATATTTTATTTACATTTCACCTATTTTTTTTATTTCCCTTTCTAAATCAATCTCCAAATCTTTCAACCAAACACTGCATAAGTAGTTTTAAATTCAAATACATGTTACGAAGTGTCTTGTGGGAAAATGTGTTTTCAAAACATGGCTTCGAATTAAATTCATTATTTAAAATTTTGAAATTGTGTGTTTTCATTAAATAACTTAAGTTTGAAAAATCAATTTAAAATAGTTGAGTTTGAAAATTTTATTGGAAAAGTTTAGTTAAAAACCCAACTATGAATATAAAATAATATAAATTTTTTTTTTTAAGGTAAGTAATATAATACAATATGACAAATAGGATAGAATACAAAAAGAAAACAGTTTTCAGTAAACGTCGTTATCTGGAGAAGGAGAAGCCTTAAAAAAGGTGGGTCAATCAATCTAACAATAACAAGAAGAAAAGAGAAAGGTGAGTGAGTGTGTATCATGTCTGTGCATGCATAGAGAGAGAGTTTGGGATTTTTTACACCACAACTTTCTGTTCTTTTTTTCTCTTTTATAACTAATTTACATGTCCCCTCTGTTTTCATGATGATTGGCTCGTAACAAAAAAAAAAAAAAAAACAAACAAACAAACAAAACAAATCACACCCCATTCAAGAAAAAAAACAAAATAAAAAAGATGCAAAATACCAAAATATCAAAATCCACAAAGATATTTTTACCTTATTGAGTTTGAGACGATTGTCCATGATTTTACCATCTGAGGAAGTAAACAGAAACGTTTCGGCCATCTTGTACAGCAAATAATCATACCCTCTTTCATCGGCAACTAAAAACTCTCTTTCCCCGAAATCCACATAAGTTGATATTGGTTCAACCTCTGCAATCAAAAAAACCCAATTCATATCAAATTATACAATTACATGTTTGGTTGATCTGAAAATAACAAAATTTTCAAAAATTCTTACTTTTGATTTCTAGGCAACCAAACAGAAAATTATGCACCAAAAAAAAAAAAAAAAAAAAAGAAGAAGAAGAAGCGCAGAGCAGAGCAGACCCACCTGCCATTTCGAAGTCGTGAAGGATGAAGTCAATGGCCAGCTCAATAGGTGTTTTGGGTGTACTGTTAATCACCATAAATGGTACGAAAAGGCATTAATTAACGAATTCCCAAAAAGCTAATTTGTAGAGAGAGAGAGAGAGAGAGATTACGATGGCGCTTCGGAAAGTTCAGAGTCATGGTTGGCTTCTTGGTTCCTCAGCTTCCGTATAGCCGAGTCCACCGCTTTTTTGTACGAGTCAGCAGCGAGTCCACTCGGAAAAATCTTCCCACTGAAGAAAACTCATTTCACCATCAAACCGAGTTAGAATCACCCACCCACCCCACGTGATCTAAAATACCGTGCTCTCGACGGCAATGCTAAATTGCGCCGCAGAAGTGAAGATCTTAAATGGGCATTCATTAAAGGGGGAGACATTCAACCTCCGGCGGCGCAATATAGCGAATTCTAAAAACACGCTGCACAGAGAGAGAGAGAGAGAGAGACCGACCTAGGATCGTAAATGTTGTAGCGGGCATTGCTATAGTCGGAAAAGCAGGTGCGGAGGCCGGAATTGCGAGCGAGTTCCCAAACGGGGTTGGGCTCTTTGCCACCGACTCCGGCGATCCAACCAGCACCCAGTTCAACCGAGACGCCTCCGAATTCATCTTTTCGGATCCTCCCCCCGATTCGGTCCGACGCCTCTAATATCACTATATCATCCACCCCTTTCTCCGCCAACACCTTCGCCGCCGATATACCTATACATATATACACATATATACATTCATTCATTCATATATATATATATATTTATTAATAAAAAAAAAGTATGTGAAATCAACGGTTTTACTCTCTCGTAGTACCTGAAATACCAGCTCCGACGATGATCACGGAACTACGAACTGGAGATTCCATTATAACGTTTTAGAGAGAGAAAGATAATATATATATATATATATTGAGAGAGAGAGAGAGAGAGGGTGGTGTATTGCGAAGTTGTGTTTTTTAGTGTGATGTATTTCGCTGGCGAGAGGTGGAGAAATAGCGGGAGGCGGTTTATATAGGGGCCATTGCGGACCCCATTTATATGTGAGATTTGGTTTTTTATTTGGTAAAAAGTTTAGGATTATAAAGATTAAAAATTTTATTAAATGTTTCATATATGGTATGAAATTTATCCAATGTTGGTCTTATGTGGGTCACACACATTTGATAAAATTTTTAATAAAATTTTTACTACTTCTAATAGTTTTGATAAAAAAAATTTAAAAATTAAAAAGTTAATTTTTAATTATTTTTCCAAAACAATTCACAGTTTCGTTCCGCATTAGTCTTTATCTCTTTGGCCCTGTTTGGTAGAGTTATGGGAAAGTGATTATAATTTATACCTTAATGGCTTATAGCTTATAACTGTAAACATAAGTTGATTTTTGACTTATAAATTAAGCTTCTCCTCCCCCACTCAAAGAATAAGTTGGTTTTTGATTTATAAAAAGCTATAAGTTGTATTATTAAACTAAACCAAACACATCAAAATAACTTAAATTAAGCTAAAAACTGATATAAGCTAAAAATTAATCCTACCAAACAGGGCCTTTCTCTATCTAAAACCATCTCTCTCGCTAAAAACTATCATCTTGGTTTTAGTTTTTAAAAAATGCTTTTCAAAAAATTTTATTTTTTTATTTTCTATATTTTTTTATTTTTAATAAAAAAATTTTAATATTTTGAATAATTTTTTTAATTTTTAAATACATCTAACATAAATATACTTAAAAAGTATAATATTTGTGAAAAAAATTTTACTAATACCAATTTTACTAATACCAAAAATATAAAAAAAAAAGCTAAAATTTAGTGTTTTTTTCGTATTTTTATGTATTTATTAATTATTAAAAATATTTTATATACATCTCAATACAGTACATCTAAAAAATAAAAAAAAATATTTACTAAACATAAAAAGAACGAAAAAAAAAATTAATTCGTAAAAAATTAAATAGAATTTTCTTTCTTATATTGACTGGTGTTGAACCCGTTGAAAATGGTTGGCCCACGTATGGACGGAAAAGGGCAGTTTAGTAATTTTGAGGAAGTGAATTACTGTGAGGGCACACGAGTAAAAAGAGGTAGAACTTTTTAGTGTGAAAGCCGTGTATGGTCAATGTCAGAACAAGAAGGGCGTTGGGGCGGCGGCAGAGATGAGATATTAGAGATGATGGGTTCAGTATCAATAATGATTGAGATTTTTTTTTTTTTTTTTTTAAAACTCTTACAATTTTTTTTTTTTTTTTATGTATGCTTAAGAATGCTTAGAAATGAAAAGGAACGAAAATCAAAACTTAAAATAACTTGTCTAAGTTTCCTGAAACAGGGCACTTCACTTGAGCACAACATTGGTTGCTCGAGTGAACCCCTTGGTTTGCAAAAGTACTGGAGGCTCTCATTTTATGCTCGAGCCAACTTCTTGGTCGCTCAAGCCAAGACTGAAAATAAAGGTTGGTCGCTCGAGCCAACCTCCAATATCTGTAAAAGTACTGGGAACTCAAAATGTACGCTCGAGTGACACTTTCATTGCTTGAGCGAACTGCTTGAATTCTGGAATTTTCAAAATTCTGTTTGAGCTTCAAACACAACTCCAAGGCTCCAAATTCATGCATGACTTACTTAACTATGCAAGAACACTTCCAAACACATATATCTGAAGGTAGTTTCTACCCATTGTTCAAAATTCCATGAATTCATCAAAATTCTAACCAAAAACTTCATGAATTTGTCAAAATGAAACTCAAAACTTTTATGCATGTATGATCTTGCTCGAATTCTTATTTAATCATCTTCAAAACATGAAACTAAGTCTCATAACCCCATGATTCATGAATTCATGTGCTAAATAACTCCCAATTTATCATGATTATCATGTTTCATGCTCAAATATTAGGAATTATAACAAATATACATATGCATGCATATATTGATCCTAATCTCCACATATTCAACTCAATTCTTGCATTTATTTACATATTCTTTTTGAATTCACATAATTATGGACTTAAACTTGTGAATTAGAGTTCAAATGCTTACTTGGAGCTTTGATTATCACTTGTATTAGTAAATTCTTGAGCTATTCTTCACAATTCTTAATTTCATTAAGTAAAACTTCAAAGATGATCTCACTGTCTCTCTAGAATGGCTCACTCTCTCTCTCTCTGAACTTCTCTTGGTTGATTTTTGAGCTAAAAAATGAGGTTATTCTCATGTCTCTACATATATATACTCTTGTTTAATTTAACTTAATTAATCATGCTTAAGGTTAGTTAATTACTCTTAATTTAATCAATTTAATCTAATTAATTTGATCCAAAACACTGTTTAATCAAATTTCACCGTAAGCTCTAAAAATGTTGCTAATCTTAATGGTACGGTCAATTTTGGTTTCTGTTGCCTCTACGACCCTCAATTTCAGTTAATTAAAGAATACTAAACATATTTTCCTACGATGAACATATATGAATTCAAAAGTGCGTATAATCTCATGCTTAGCATCCAAAATCATATTAAGCACATAATCACAAGTATAATTAAAGGTGAATAGCATAACACAAAATGAGGTTATCATATGGTTTCCCCCTTTAGGAAGTTTGGTCCTCCAAACTTATGTTACCTTCCGTTGGAAACAAATATGGGTAGTGTTGTTGCATCTTATCCTCTTTCTCCTGCATTGCATCCCTTCCATAATGTTCTTTCCATTCCACTTTCACCATTGGGATGGATTTGTTTCTCAGTTGTTTCACTTTCCAGTCAATGATTTGTTCTGGCCATTCTTTATTTTCCATATTTTCATCGAGAGCTATCTGGTAGTAGTCTATCACATGAAATGGATCCCAGAGGTAGCCTTTCAACATTGAGACATAGAACACATACTGCATTTGTTCCATACCCAGTGGCAAAGCAATTCCATAGACAACTGGACTGAGCCTCTCAAGTATTTGAAATGGCCCAATGTAACAAGGTGATAACTTACCCTTCTTGCCAAATCTCGACTGGCCCTTCATTGGGATTACATGGATGAATACATGGTCGCCAACTTCATATTCAAGTGGCCTTTTTCTAACATTGGCATAGCTTTTTTGTCTGCTCTATGCTGTCTTGAGCCTTTGTTGAATAACTTTGATCTTTTTAGTGGTGGTTTACACCATTTCAGGCCCAAGCAAGACTCTATCCCTGACTTCTGTCCAATAAACCAGTGATCTACACTTTCTGCCATATAAGGCTTTAAACGGTGCCATGCCAATGCTAGAGTGGAAGCTATTATTATAGCAAACTCCGCCAATGGTAAGTAATCTTTCCAACTCCCTTGAATATCTAAGGCATACATTCGAAGCATATCTTCTAGAGTCTGTATGGTTCGTTTTGATTGTCCATCAGTTTATGGATGGAATGTAATACTAAATCTGAGTTCTATCCCCATTGCCGCTTGAAGGCTTTTCTAGAATCTAGATATAAATTTTGGATCTCTATCCGACACATGGATACCAGCACTCCATGTAAACAGACAATTTCATCAACATAGATAGTGGCAAGTCTATAAGCGTCATTAGTCTTTACGGGAATAAAATGTGTAGATTTAATCTATCTATCAACTATAACCCAAATAGAGTTCATACCTTTAGGTGTTCGAGGTAGACTAACAACAAAGTCCATGGTTATGTGCTCCTACTTTCATTCCGGAATAGGGAGAGGTTGAAGTAGTCCTGCCAGCTTTTGATGTTTGGCTTTAACTTGCTGGCATTGAAGACAGTTAGACACATATTCTGCAATTTCCCATTTCATATTAGGCCACCATTAGCTTTGTTTCAAATCCCGATACATTTTGTTGTTGTCTGGATGCATTGCAAACATTGACTTCTGGAACCGTTATAATCTTTCCCCCTTAAGAAATTTCGTTCTCGAAATTTAAATCAAACTAATAACCATCAGATTTTAATTCTATCCGCCGTCCACATTAGTAACACTGATAAAATAGAACTCTCCAACACCAAATATAAAAATTCAGATTCCCAAAACATTTATCATGTTTACATATTACAACATGAATGAAATTTACAATGTAAGCCTCAAATATCTACAAATAGGTCCAGATACTTCTCACAAACTTCCACCTCACATTCCCAAGCTGCTTCTTCGATCGTCTTGCCTCTCAAGACTTGATCCCAAGTATCTAGCACCTGAACTAGTCTCTCTTCATACGAGGCATTCTCATCTACCTCTAACTCGGTCCAATCTAGCACGTGTAAATGATCAGGCTCGTACTTCCGGAGCATACAAATATAAAACACATCATGAACCCCTGAAAGCTGGGGCGGCAAGGCCAAATGATAAGTTACTTCCCTAATGTGATCTAAAATCTCAAAAGACCCAATAAATCTAGGAGACAACTTACCGCTCTTTCTAAATCTCATCAAACCCCACCTTAGTGATATTTTTAGAGACACGTGATCCCTCACCTCAAAAGATAGAGGCCTCCTCTTATGGTCGACATAGCTCTTCTGGCCATTTTGAGCTGAAACCAATCTCCTACAAATAAGCGCAATCTTTTCTGTCGTTTCCTGGACTAACTCTGGACCTAACATAGGTGTATCACCTGCCTCAGCTCAACACACAGGAAATCTATACAGTCGGTTATATAACGCCTCAAAAGGTACCACACCAATACTTGCCCGAAAACTATTATTGTAGGTAAATTCCACCAAGGGCAAATGCTTCTCCCACGACCCCTTAAAATTGAGAATGCAAGTCTAAAGCATGTCCTCTAAAATCTTAATGGTGCGTTCAGACTACCCGTCAGTCTGAGGATGATAGGTGATACTAAAGGTTAACATAGTGCCCAAGGCACCCTGTAGGCTTTACCACAACCGAGTTGTAAAACATGGATCCCTATCCAAAACAATAGTCACTAGAAACGTAGATAAAATCTCAAAGTTTCAAAATGGGACTGATAATAAATATCCAACTCCAC